ATATATATATTATATATAGTGAAGCCCGTATCGTGGCTATACGCTGTCCTGTAGACATCATACTAAGCATTTGAACAGTTGGCCTATACATGTAGTATGTACAGCACATGTAGGTTCCTGTATACTGGGTTAGGTGGACAGGCAGGGGCTATTCCAAGCTGGCACTATGTAATGACAGAGCCTGGCTTTGGGGAAAACGTTTTGTACATTGGGGGTAAAGCTACGCACTAAAGCAGCAGCCACTCTTGTGTCGGTATAAACCCAGTAACTGTAGCCAAGGAAGAAGAGAAGAGAAAAAAACAGATAATGTATGTATAAATAGAGCAGAATGACCAAGCTACAGACAACAAGCATCAACAATGCATGAATTTGTAGCGCAGCTATATGATCGGTATATGACAAAAAATATAACTTAATGAAATGATTAGTTTCCTCCAAGGCTTGACGACGATTTAAAACGAAAGATGAACTGAGAAAGAAAATACTTGATTCTGCTGTGGGAGAACAAAGAATGTGCCAAGTTGGTGTTGCCATGGCATTTGACATGTTTTCTCAATAGTCAGGTAGACGTCGTTGTATCCAACCTAGTGGAAAAACAATATCACAGTGTGCAACCTACCTAGAGCTTGTCTGTGAGTTACATGGTTGGTTTTTATGTTGTGTCCCGGATGTACCACAACGGACCTTCAACTGTGTTGTTTGAAATTAACTGTGTAACGATGTATGCTTTGTACCAAATATGTTGTGATACGTTAAAAACCTGTTATTCTTTTCAACACGTCGTGACGGCATTTCTTCTACTGTTGATTAATGTCTGTTGTATTATACCACACAACTGGAGTGAACCGTATCATGAAAGTTCATCTGTGTGTTGGTAGCTACATGTTTAAAGTTAAAACTTTTGGTCCAACACAAAAAAGTTATCTCACCTTGTGTTGACGTCACACTTCAAAGAAGCCACGTGACAAGCCTCACTGGGTCAGTCTACTGAGGAAGACTAGAATGACTGGTCGAAAGCTCAAGGTGAGAGAACTTTTTTTGTGTTGGACCAAAAGTTTTAACTTTAAACATGGAGTGAACCTTGCCTGCACGTTGGCTCTATTGTCAGTGTAACTTGCTCATTACACATTTAAAGTCCATGTAGATTGATAATGAAGCTATTTCACTTTAAAGACTTAGAATAGAGGATTAACTAAAACTTTAAAGTTGGCCACAAGACAACGGATACCGATTAAACATCCATCCTTTAATCATGTATTTGCTGAATTCCAGTAGTCAACAGAATGGAGCCAGTTACATGTATTTTCCTAAATTTGAGTTGAAGGCAAGAAAAAGAATACAAACTTTTATCCGTAAGTATATGTATTTGCTTTGTTGCAATAACCAACAAAGTTAAACATGCAAGGGCAGTCTGCATAGATCCAATTTAGGCAGAAACAAACTAATGTTTCTCTGATTATTATACTGGGCATATCCATTCTCTTACCCCTATTACTTTCAAGTAGATCATACTATATATAGGACTTTCTAACTTGTATATTTTACAACTTAAAGTCATCATTCCGAGTTAAAGTGTTATATCGGTACAGTTAGCCAGAATATCACAGTTGAAGGCTTATTATTATATAAACACATGCAAAGTCCTTACTAGTAATTACGTCTGTCTGAGCTTGTGAAGAAGCCTATCAACATTGCTGCTCTATGGATAGCTGGTATTTGTTATATGATAGCATGTTTATCTTCATTCCTCTTGAGATGGTGACTACAAATGTTACTTTTTAGTATCTACACCTGTCTGGTGATGACCACATACCCGGGTCCGTCGTTTGCCCCACCCTGACCGCTCGTGTCAGTACCGGAGTTAAACGAACCGCCACCTCCTCCACCACTTTGGTTATAATTCTCTCCCCTGCCTCCTCCTGAGTACCCCCCACCTCCTCCACCACCGTTTCCATAACCCCCTCCCCCTCCACCAAACCCACCATCAGCATTATAACGTACCCCACTCCCTCCAACCCCGCCATTCACAAACGCCTTCCCACCTTCCCCACCCTCCAGACAACTGTCACCTCCAAACCGTTTAGAACTCCCTCCATCCGTCAGCAGCCCTCCCCCTCCACCACCCATGCACCCACCCTCCCATCCTGTCGCCCCCTGTCCGTTAGATCCTCCACTACAACCAGTTTCTCCAGAACTCTTGTTACCAGTAGTGGACACAGTCCCGTCACACAGGGGGTTATGGGTGGATAGCCCATACCCTGCCCCTCCCCCACCCCCGGCGATAATGAGTGGCGTGTTGTCTCCCCTGGTGACAAATGTACCGCCCCCTCCTCCTACACTCCAGTTCCTCTTGTTCTCAGCACCTTCTTGTCCCACCAGGATCTTCAGAGTCTCACCTGCAGTATTGAAAAATTTTCATATATTATTTATGCTCTCTATCTTTCTATCTTTCTATCTATTTGTATCTCCTGAAGCACAAGATTTCTTCTTAATTTCCAAACAATTCTTAGTGGAAGTAGTACTAGTAATTTGATAGTGTTCTACAGTTAAATTGTCACCCAGGTGGTGAAAGGATATACTGTATGTGTGTTTCACATAAACAGACCAAGAAAGATTAAAGAAGCACATGTACTACAGATGAATCGCACCTTGTTTGAGGTTGAATGTTCCCCTCAGTACGGCACCCCGTCCTCGGACGGACTTCGGGTTGTATCGACCCCACCCTGCAGCAGCACCTGTCAATCAAACATGGCCGTAACTTTCAGCACATAGATTATAATTTAAAAAAAACAAGGACCATTGAATGACTATTGAACGAAACAGGAAGACAAGCATACAATTAAGTTATAGCTACCGGCTTCAAATTGTTTTGGTAATTACGTACACCAATCAGTTACATTTACTAAACGTCCCTACCCGCTGCCTCTACGCTGTACGTTCCCGTCCCCGGTACAGTGAAGTGTTGTATCCCGTCATGTAGCGTCACCAGGTGTTCATGGTCCTGTCCCCTGTAGTGGGTACCCAGGGTAGTGGGGCCCAGACGGCCGCTGGCGCCCAGGGTGGTCAACTTGGCAGAGCGGAAGGAAGAATCTGAAAAAAGTAGGTTAATGATACATTTTTTGTCTGGGGAATCAATTTTCTGAATATATTCAGCAGAGCTGGCTGTATAATATGTAACTTTAGTAATTACCTCGAGTGGTTGGACCCGGACAGCCTCTGGCTTGCACAGCTGTGAACGTGGCCGTGGTCTGGTTTCTTACTTGCTTCGGAGTACCAGAGTGATCTGGAAAAAGGTAATACTATGGGTCATTATTCTGAATCTGACGTGTAACTAACAGGTTACAAGATAAATACAGCAAGAAGTGCTTGACTACATAGTTTCAACGTGCTAAAACGAGTTAGTACTAATGCTAAAACATACCGACAATGTCGCCAAGGATGATTTTCTTTTTTTGCCTTTCCGTCTTGGGCTCAAACCTGACGTAACTGATGTCGTCAGGAATGTCCGGGGTTGGACCTTTCAGCAGAGACTCCAGCCGGGCCGTGACGTCACAGTACACGTTCATGACGTCAAAGTCACTGCCATGCTCCACGACTTTCTGTGAGAAGTCCACTGTGCTGGACAGACAGCCTAAGGTGCTCTCAACACTGTCTGCTGCAGCAGAGAGCTGCTTGGAACGGGCTGCTGTGACGGCCGCTAACTTTTCTTTCAGTTCAGTCTGCTTGCGTCTGACAAGGCCAGTGTAGTACTTGATCTCTTCCTCCGCAGCTGCATCGATGTCGTCTGCAGCTTTCTTGCTCCTGGTGTCCAGTTCTTCTTGCTTCTCAGCTACGACTTCTGCAGCGCCTCGGTATTCCTTAATTTTCGGCCTGGCAACTTCCAGTTTGCCTTTGATCTTTACCCTGACGTCACTCACAACGTCTGTCAGGTAGCCGTACTTGTGGTCTTTGTGCTGCAGTACCGTACAGTCTCGGCAGATGGGACTCTGGCACGTCTCACAGTAGAACTTCAGCTTCTCGTCTTCATGTTTTGGACACATTGGCAGAGATATTGATTTAACTGAAGGTGTTTTTGTGATCAGCTGCTCTTTTAACTCTGCCACGCCGATGACTTCATGACCACGCGTACGCTTGGCACGACGGTGGACTCGAGCACATTCGTCACACAAGAACTCTTCACACACAACACAGCCACCGTTAGCCACTTCTTCACAGACATCACAAAGTTCTTCGTCATCCTCCTTGCTAACCAAACTCTTGTGAGCGTCGACGGTGTCCCTCAAGCTCAGGACAAAGAAGTTGTTTTTGAGCCCGGCGACACCGCCCTCCGGAAGTACAGTTTCGATCCGACATGTTGGACACGGAAACCTGTCCTTCCCCTCACCTTGTTTCGCTACAAACTTCTTCAGACAGTCCTTACAGAAGGTGTGAAGACACGGTAGGATCTTGGGGTCCTTATAGGGCTCAAGGCAGATCGTACACTCCAGAAAGTCGCCGGAAATCTGGCTGAGTACGGCCTCCGCCATGACTACGTGCACCTGTACGCTTCAGGTGAGATACCGTTACAGGTGAACTTTGAACTTCTGTTCAACACAGGGTCACTGTTTATAAAAGCATCAGGTTTCAGCGGAGACCCGACTAGGTAAATAAAACTACTGACATCATCTTTCCCTCAAATCAAAAGAGGGCTTCCGTGCATATTTTCGACAAATATACATAATTATGTAGTGGATTCTGTTTTGATGTACAATAGATAGGTTGCTTTATCTTTATTGTAGCTGTACACGTATTCGTAAAAGTTACATAATCAGGACTTAACATATGCATATGGCAAATAGACATGTACAAGCGCAATACATTGGGCGTTACAGGATTTGTATCTCTCAGCAAAAAGTCATCCAGTAAAATATAAAGCTTGATAATATATCCTTCGGCATAGCACAGCGGGCTCATTTCACATACGGTGGGGTTGGGGATGCCAAGCTAACAGTTCTCTTGATAAAAAAATATATATATAGTGAAGCCCGTATCGTGGCTATATGCTGTCCTGTAGACAACATACTAAGCATTTGAACAGTTGACCTATACATGTAGTATGTACAGCTCACAGTAGATACCTGTATACTGGGTTAGGTGGGTGGGCGGGGGCTATTCCAAGCTGGCACTATGTAATGACAGAGCCTGGCTTTGGGGAAAACGTTTTGTACATTGGGGGTAAAGCTACGCACTTAAGCAGCAGCCACTGTTGTGTCGGTATAAACCCAGTAACTGTAGCCAAGGAAGAAGAAGAGAAGAAAAAAACAGATAATGTATGTATAAATAGAGCAGAATGACCAAGCTACAGACAAGAAGCATCAACAATGCATGAATTTGTAGCACAGCTATATGATCGGTATATGACCAAAAATATAACTTAATGAAATGATTAGTTTCCTCCAAGGCTTGACGACGATTTAAAAAGAAAGATGAACTGAGAAAGAAAATACTTGATTCTGCTGTGGGAGAACAAAGAATGTGCCAAGTTGGTGTTGCCATGGCATTTGACATGTTTTCTCAATAGTCAGGTAGACGACATTGTATCCAACCTAGTGGAAAGACAATATCACAGTGTGCAACCTACCTAGAGCTTGTCTGTGAGTTAATGGTTGGTTTTTATGTTGTGTCCCGGATGTACCACAACGGACCTTCAACTGTGTTGTTTGAAATTAACTGTGTAACGATGTATGCTTTGTACCAAATATGTTGTGATACGTTAAAAACCTGTTATTCTTTTCAACACGTCGTGACAGCATTTTCTTCTCCTGTTAATTAATGTCTGCTGTATTATACCACACAACTGGA